ATTAAATAATATAATCTTGTATAATCTTAAATAATTAAAATTTTATGCAAATTTATAAAAAAAATAATAAATTTTATCTAAAACTATTACTTTTAACTTAATAAAATTAATTGGTTTTTCATAGCTAGATTGTTAATTTATAATAAAATAAAATTAATTAGCTAATTATATCTTATAATTTGCTATAACTTATAAAATTAATATTATATAATAGTTACCTTAATTATATAAAATTTTAAAATAGTTAATACTATAATTAAAAAAAATTTATATACTTTCATATTATAAAATTAAAATCTTAAATTTAAATAGCTTAATATAAATTTTTATAATTTTTAAAAATAAAATTTTTTATAAATATAATAAATAATTATAAATTTTTAAAAATTATAAAATTCAAAAAATTTTATAACTAAAAATTTTTTATTTAAAATTATAAAATTTTTTTTGAATTACATATAGAAGTTGTTTTTCATCAGTATTAATTTCTAATTCTGAATGATGTTCTACAAATTGTAGAATATTATTTATGCTAATAACTGCATTTTCAATAGTAACAGGTTCTTTTTCAACTTTTTTATTTGTTTTATTTTGAATTATATCAATAATTTCTTCATTAGTTAGATCAACATCTCTATCAAGATTATCAATATTGATATATTCATTTGCATTAAGTGTACTATTATATGGTAATTGATTAATCAAACTTTGAATTGTTTCTTCATCACTCTGAGAAGATTCTAATAAATCACTAATAACGTTTTTAGATTCTGAATATTTTTACTTAGTACTCCTAAGGTGTTAGTTACTAAATTTTGATGATCGTATAATTTCTGTTTTTTGCTAACAATTTTGAATAGTTTCGCATGTAATATTTTCCCAAGCTTGTGTAATCCAATTAATTGTATATAATATATTGATTTCTTTAGGCTTTTTATTGGTATTATAAGTACTATTGAATTGATCTAATCGAAATTGTAAAAGTTGTCTGCGATATTGAGCCTAAAATAAATATATAATATTATAATAATATTAAAATTTTAATTTATAATTTAAATATATATTTAATAACAAAATATATTTAGAGAATTGCTAATTTTCACCGGTAGTAAAGTTCATCAGGGTGCTATATCTCAAAAA